TAATAATAGTGACATCTCCGTAAAGTTCCTCTCTGTCACCTCCTTTCGCTGTAATCTTCTCACTGACACCGCTGCATTTCACCGATCTCCGCGAGTGGGAAGTTTCTTCAAAGCAGAACCTTGTGGATTCTATCCGCGATCTGCACACGTTCTGACGTGTTGAATTCCACTGCAGGAGCCCGCGAAGACTTGCCTCGTCCGGATCGCCGCGCAGCCCGCCGCGCGATTCGCCGCGTGCAACCCCGGACGCACCAAAAGTCCGTCGCCCGATGGCAGGTGACGTGATATCCTGACGACGGTGAGCGTAGTGGAGGAGGGCTCGCGTCTACTCATAGAAAGACATTTTAGGTACACTTTGCAGTGAAATCTTTGAGATGAAAATTCGCTAAAGCGCGACACATGAACTGGCGACAAAAATGTCTCTATTTGCTCCTGCCCTCCCCGTGTAGTTACATATGTAGTAGTATTCGGCATGACTTTTATATCAACTGCGCCACGCATTCTCCCTGTGGAAATCGCCGTGGTACCCCTTATACGCATAGCACACCGTACAAAAACTTTGGGTTAAAGGAGTAATTCTCGATAAGAACGAAGGTCAAAGAAGGGGAAATTGCATAGTTGGGAGACAGGCGGACCTCCTGAGGGTGCTGACCGACGCGCAATTGGCAGCGAAAGATTTGACCTCGGCGATCTAGCATGGCTCGTTCTTGGCGCGCCTATTGAGAACTACACATTTCAGATAGCATTCGCCGGCACCATATGCAATTCACTGGTAGCGCTCTTAACTCGCAACGTAAAGTCACTCAACAATCCATTTGGACGACTGACAGCCAGCCAAGCTGTCGGAGAAGCAATATTTTGTGCTTTGTTCGCATTCTACTATGTGCCCATGGTCGCATTGTAAGTGCTGTTTACGTTGATCTATGTATTATAATGCTTTATTATTTAATTAATTGTGCCCTAGAGGTTTCAGTGACATCACAGCCATGAAAGAATTCTCCCATTACGTCGGCGTTACTCTTCTGATCTGCTATGACATCTGCATCTTCTCCCACCTGGTTATCGCTTTCAATCGGATGTTCGCCATTTTCTTCCCGCTTTCTTACTCTGCTCATTTCAGGTAAGTCTAACATAATGATGTCAATTTGAAGGACAGAGTAACGTGCTAGGGACCAAGCCGCTAGAGTGCGTAGGCCTTCAGCACCTTTATCACCTCTAGCCGGAATTCTAGTTCACGATTCGTAGAACAGTCTATTATGCCTGATTCGCAAAAAAGGACTTCCAGTCGATTGGTCATGAAATGCGTCTTGAATGGCTAAATTTTACACCAACCTAGTGGTTCACGTGTCGATAACGATACGATGCCGCATGCTTTAACAACAACAACAGTCGACGCGTTTTCTAGGAGTCTTTCAGCCTGTATTCGCGCAAAAGGAGGCTATTTCGAGATCTAGTTTGTTTTGTGATCTATATAGCTGTTGATAAATGCTGTTGAAGTTGTATCATGTATCGATCGATTCGACCGTTTTTACGGGCATATTTACCGTTGCCAGAACTTTTGCCGCACCCTATAGGTGGCTCACTCATCTGAATGTCCCCCTCCCCAACCACATGAGCGCCCTCCACCACTTGGACAAGCGCATCAGTAGATCCAACGATGAGCTTCATCTACGCTATTTGATCTCATGTATGGATGGCACAATTTCTGTTTTCTTACAGTGATCGCAACACCACTGCTCTCATCGTCATTACATGGACCCTATCCATCACAGCACCAATTTTACTACATGGAAGAAGTGAGTTCTAGATTTTTAGTAGTCCAGTAGTGATTATAACACGATTGTAAGAATAAGGAAAACAACACTAATAATTAGTAGATCATATAGCATAAAGGAGTAAAGAAAGCCAAAAGCCCTTAGTATGACGTATCTTTTAAATAAATGTGCAGATGGGCTTGGTAAGAATTGCAACCGAACTTACAGCAGAAAGAATATCGAGCCTAGTCAGTTCCACGCATGCAAGAAATGTGAAATTTATACGCTGCATCACACTGAGTCTTACAACTGTGTGGTCAATACGCCTCGCACACATTACTTATAAACAAAAAACTTTCACGGTGTCGTGCTCTTTTACGGGGTCGACGCGGATGCATCGGTGATCTGCTCATGGGACGGGGCTACCCACTATGTACACCTAGGAAGGGGAAGCGCGCGAGTGAATGCTTTGATATGTGGGCCGCTGGCGGCTCAGGTTGGAGGCCCGTTCCCTAACCGTAACAAGTACGTTGCGCGTTAGTGCGTGGATCAGATCCCTGATGGTATGGGATGTCGATCTTTTAGTGGACCAAGATAAGTGATTGATGAGACTGAAGGCAGCGAATGCGGAATGGTGGCACAGCGTAAGCGAGTGTGTGCGTATATTTGAATCATGCGAGAACATAATATTATACCTACATAATTCTGTAAACCAAGCATACGAAATATGGGAATGAAAGCCACAAAGAATAATACCTTCAAAAGGAGAATCATTGAAATATTGACTACTGTGACGTAAAAGGTACTACTAAACTCACATACCACTGTGAGGTGAACTACTACTATGGAAAACTACCGTGGTAGAAGAGACTATTACAAAAAGATCTCATATCTGCATTGAGTGAATACTACTACTATTAGAGAAGGAAAAGTAAGGGAAAGCCTACTACATACAAATTATTGATATGGAGAAATATAAATGGTATGTTGATTCTTTGCGAAGCGAGGAGTGTTTATGCAAATGCGAGGGCCGCCTTATCCTTCTATTTTATAAAGCGCTAACTTTGTGTGTCGGTTTGTGTATCTGTATGTGTGTGTGTGTATGTGTATGTATGTGTGTCCGTCCGCAAAATGAAGTGAGTGAGAAGGAAGCTCATGGGATAAACAAACCGCTAACAATCGGGTAGCTTACAGGATTTGAGATATCAATGTTTTGTAGCAGGATAGTTGTGATAACACTCTTAGGGCTATATAAACACCTGCTTAGCACACTTCCGTTCATTCCACATGGTGCTGCAGTGGCAGCTGGAGGGCAGTGGAGAGAGGAAGGGAGGATGAAGGGAAAGCGAAAAATCTACCGTCATATCATGATTGTGTCCCTTCTACTGTATGAAACACCATTGTGTTGCATACGCGTCACTTCCAGGAGGTGTTGGTGTCACAGGAGGAAGGGACCATAGCGGAGGATAGAAAGCTTGCGCAGGAAAGGAAGGTCCCGGCGGTTGACGGGGGACTAATCTGGTAATATATAAACATGACGTTTAAAGCCACATACGAAACGAACTGCATCTTCTTGAGGCGAACGGGCGACGATACAGTCAGCGAGCGCTCAAGCATGCACTGCACTCATGCTTGACTGGCCGGCGGCCGGGATCCCTCTCCACACTTCGACGCTCAGATCAAGATTGGTGCGTCGTTGGCATTTTTAGCGCGTATGTGCTTGAAGTATCCTTGGCATCGAGAGCGTGCGCGACAGTACGCGGTTTGTGGTGACCTCGGATTCTCCTCTCTTTTGCGCTGGAACTCGGCCCCTTACGGGAATAGACCATGACTAATCGTCGAGCTTAGGGTGAACTAGAAGCTGTGCACTCTTCTCAACCTGTGAATCAGCCAGTTCTTTGACCGATCAACTGAGAACCAGAGCAATAGCTATGCTTTTCATTGAGCAGGAGAGGAAAATGTTAAAACTCTCTGATTTAACTTGTCGCTACTAGAGAAATGAGGAGACATCAACTCCAAAACTTGGTCGAAAGTGCTAAGCATGTTGCATATGTTGTACACGAATTTTTCCAAACGGGCCGAAACGTTTCGTACAAAAATTGTTTGTAATAGAAGGGTTATAGAAAAAAGCTCGATTCTCTTTACGAGCTCGGTCCGCCTTCTGCCTTGTCTGCTTCAAATCATTCTATTCAGGGATCTGCTCGTTTTCATACTCGGATCCCATCTACACGTTCTCCTTCACCTCCAACAAGGTAGTTTTTGACAATTAATAAAAGTATAGCTCACTATTTCTAGTTTCCACAAAAACAAAGCTTGTGTAGTGCTTCGAAATTCCAAAACTTTTTACCAGAACCAGAGCAGGGGCGACCATATTTCCACCAGAATGTAGCTCTTTGTGCAGGAATTTTTTTGATACTCTTCGCGCAGACTCCAAATCCACTTACAGTCAATATCCGGCCGGTTGAGGGAGGCGGTCCCACGTACGTGCAGCGCTGCGGCCGCGACAACGCGGGATGGAAGGTTGCCGTCTCCCAGTGATTGAGTGGTGTCTGAGCAATCCGTCCTGCCGTCTGCATTCCTCCGCATGCACACTATCTTAGCAGTACGACGCAGCCTTTCCATCTGCGCTCTCGCCACTTTTCCGTCTGCGCTCTCGCCACGGTCGATCAATCGAAATTTATCAGCTGTTTTGAGCTGAATTCAACTAAATTCTTCAAACACTGCTAATTGCACGCTTCTTTTACAGGTAAGTGAGTTTTAAACATGCTAATTTGCTTCTGTAAGTGTTCTGATTGATTTTATGTCAACCATTGCCCCATTAGTAGCAATTATCTTATTTTATGTTTTTTTTTATTTTTTCTTATTTAATTAATTCAACTCGTTCTTCATGGTGTGTCTTTGATGTCTTTCCATTATTGTCGGAAACACTTCTTAACAGGCACTATCATGAAGAACGAGTTAAATCAAAGGAGAAAAAAAAAAAAAAGAAGGAAATAAGCATAATTGCTGCTGATGAGGAAATGGTTGACATAAAATCAATCAAAAATTATGCAGAAGCAAATTACATGTTTAAAACTTACTTACCTGTGAAAAAGAAGCGCGCAGTTGAGAATATTAACAGAAATTAGCCGGATTCAGCTCAAAACAGCTGATAAATTTCGATTGATCGACCGTGGCGAGAGCGCAGACGGAAAAGTGGCGAGAGCGCAGATGGAAAGGCTGCGTCGTACTGCTAAGATAGTGTGCATGCGGAGGAGTGCAGACGACAAGACGGACTGCCAGCTATTCCATTGCGGCGCAGTTGCGCCGCAGCGCTAGAAAGTCCGTGGGACCGCCCCCTCAACTGGTCGGATATGGACTGTACTTCCTTTTGAAGCCTTTCTTTTCCCGCGAATGCTCGTCCGCACGGAGGATTCTTATTAAGAACCTTCTCTGAATCCGAGTGCCTGAACAAAAAATTGAAAGATTTAATAGCGCTTGAGGAATTAAAATTTCATTTCTCAAAGATCAGAGGACTCAAGGATCTCATATGCCTCTCATAAATATAAATGTTTGGAAATGAAAAAAAAATCAAAAAATTAAAAGGTCAAGGGGTTGAGCCGTTTGAGCTTTCTCGAAAAGAATGCAGGAGTTCTAGTGTTGTTTATGATAGCTCAGGACTCAGATACTTATTCTTTGCTGTAGCCCACTTATTTTGATCGTTTCAGTTATGCGAGCAACTGGCGGGTGTGAACTTTATTCAGGATGTTTCAATAGTAATTCTGATAGCTATTATTGATGTTATCACAATAATCAAATACAGAATTTCGTCAGCAGAGGTAGATAATTTGCCTATTTGTATCTATCAGTCCAATTGTAATTTGTGCTCTTTGTTTACTAAGCTAATTTGTACATATTTTTCACCATGTTCGACATCGAAGCATATAGTCGATTCAAAATTAACTGATTCATGAGTATACGCCACAACTTTCACTGAAAATTAGGCCAATGTACAAGTTACTTCCACTAGAGCACAGGAGCCAGTCCCTCTAAGGCTTGCCCATGCAATGAAACACGGACTTGGCCAGGCGGTGGGTGAAAGCTGCGTCTTCCGTCTGTGTTCAATCCCTGTGGCCTAGCGCGGCGTATTGAGCACCAAAACCTCGCCTCAATATACCTCACTCCATTGTGATCCATTAAGTGAAAGGTTTCGGTTTGTGTGAGATGTACAAGGAAACTGGAGCTCACGAAAACATTACAGGATTTGGTACGCGTTTTTGTGAGTAATAACGAACAAGTGCAGCAAGATCACCCGCCCCCTCATCACTCCACCAATACGCCATGAAAATCAAAACACTACAAAGAAAAGAAAGAAATGGTGTATGATTGGAGCTGCTAGCAGTTCATGAAAAGAGTACTTTCAAATGAAGTGCACACTTCTGAGCGCGGTAAATAAGGATTCTTCGACAAGTTAGAACGTCGAAGAAAGAACCACTAGTGGAACACAGGTGGATCCCCAAAGCTGTGGACCGATACGCTATTCGCAGCGAAGGATATTGCCCGTGAACTCGCGGCGCTGTCGACACGGCACTCCTACACTAGCTGTTCTCATGAGCAGGTCTCTAGCTGTTTGCACAAAGAGCGTTAGCGTCGAATGTGGGAGCGCTGATAAAACATGGATCAAGGTGAAAACCAATGGTCAGAATAAGAAATGGGTCCCACTTCTCGGGTTCTGTTGCTTTTCTATTGGTTTTTCTCCATCCGGGCACCATTTACCAACTCTAGCTTAACTCTGATGAGCCTCCAGCTTAATTTCAATAGGCTGCCTTCTGACCGTAAACTCCGCCTCTAGGCGCTCTGCACCGCAATG